GAGGATAGGGAACTAAAAGATAGAACGATTTACAGTTCGATGTACGTTAATCGGTACTAGTATCAGCTATCTTTTGGAACCAAAAAAACTAGCAACGCCGGCGCTATGCAGATGACATTAACGGAATTGGCAAGTTGATCACCATCTGTTGTAACCACCACCGCCTCCTTTTCTTCTATGGCCACCTCCACTACCTCTGTAGGAACGACCGCCATATCCACCGCCGCCATCTCGGCCCCAGCCAGCATCATCAAAGCCAGCATCACCGCGACCAGATGGACCGTCATCATGCCTAGACGGAGGCTGCCCCTTCATCTCTTTCTGCAAAATACTGTAGGTCTCCCTCATTTTCGCATATCCCAAATGCATTTTCCCGAAGAAATGGTCGGCAAGGCGACGGTCATTATCTAGTCGACTGAGATACGCTCCGCACACATCACAAACCTGCAACTTCTGATGTCCTGAGGGGCCAGATGTATCTGCGAGGGCCTTAAGGTCTCGTTCGAGAGACTCCTTCTGATGCTTAGCGGTTCGTACTTTGTAGAATTCGTCAATAGCAGTAGCAACTGCTCCGAGTTCACCGAGAACGGACGTTTCCTCGAGTCCAGCGTTGATAGTTTTGTTCAGATCTGATATTTGCGACAACTATTGATTTGGTTCATTTCACATTAGCAGACTGAATTTTGAGGACACTAACGGAGTGACAATAGTTACCAAATGGTTTGTTTGCCGTATTTCATCTGGCGTCTTCTCAAGACGGCGTTGTGCCGAATCTATCCTCCTGTTGCATTCATCGATGTATTTCTGCATATCTCGCAAGTAGTCATACTCGAACCCCCATTTAGCCTTTTCGTGTGATGATGCAGCATCATATTCAGCTTTCAAGCCTTCGCTGTGCAATTTTGGACAGGGTCCTAGGTCTTGCTTCGTGTTGGTGAAGAGGTCGTGGGGACATGTACCAGCAAGATAAGAGCGGCAGACTTTCGGGTCGGTGATCGCAACTTGCGCGTTTCGACCAGAACTAGGCCCCCCAATCAACTGATCAGCTTGAGAGACGCGATGAGTCAGTTTATGCAGCGCTTTTAGTTTGATGTGGTTAGATGCAGAAAACACTTACCTCCCATGAGCTGCTCTAAGAGCTTCCGCTGCTCTGCAGCCATTGTGAGTTGTGGAGGCGCAAACCAGAGACAGTGCCAATTTGTAGATAATAGTCAATTTAGCTTGCTGAAACAAACTGCCTCTATACAAATTACCCCGTGAGACTTGGATCTTATATCTCTCTCCTTGTCTCCATAAGACGTTGTTCAGCTTTTGCGCAAAAGCAAGAAAAGAGACTCTCATTAGCCGCTATTATTACATAATCGAGATTTAACCTAGTTATTAGGCGCGCGTCTATTCATACTGGCATCAAAAAGCAAAGAAACACCCGCGAAAAGGAGACCAAGACGAAGACGAAGCAGACGCAGGACGATACAAAGAAGAAGGGATCAAGCTGGAGGTCAGGGATGGTGCGAACTGGCTGGGAGTGACAGCCCTTTTTCATTTCGCTCGCTCGATATGATGTCCTCCCTGCATTCGCTGCTCTGGACACTGGTAGTCTCAGCCCTGCTCGCCGCCGCCAATACTATCGACTATCATGAGCAGCTGGTGCTTCACCCACTGCCGCCATCAAACCTGCTGGCGTCCTTCAACTTCCGCAGCAATGAGTCCAGTGCTGCGTTCGAACAGCAGAACTACCGATATTTCCCCCGTTCTCTAGGCCAGATCCTACAGCATACACATACGAAAGAATTGCATCTGCGATTTACCACCGGACGATGGGATGCTGAGAACTGGGGAGAACGACCCTGGCATGGCTTCAAGGAGGGAGGCACTGGAGTAGAGCTCTGGGCGTGGATTGAGGCGCAGGACGCTGATGCGTATGATAATCTTGAAGCAGTCGATATTTGAAATAGATGGCTAATACAGTATACTTATTCTAGAGCATTCAAAAAGTGGATTTCGCTCACGCAGTCGCTATCTGGACTATTCTGTGCATCTATGAATTTCATCGACTCGACACGGACCACGACCCCTTCTCTTACTTTTACCCCCACTGGAACTATACCGCATGACGGACTACATCTTCTCCATGGCACGCTGCCGGGTGAGGTTGTGTGCACCGAGAACTTGACGCCCTTTCTGAAGCTTCTGCCATGTAAAGGTAAAAGCGGCATATCCGGACTCTTCGATGGCCACAAGCTCTTTGATGCGTCGTGGCAGACTATGTCTGTCGATGTTAGGCCGGCTTGTGCGGAGGAGAATTCTGAAATATGCCATGTCGAGATTGAGCAAACCGTGGACATGGTCCTGGATCTGGATAGATCAAAGCGGGCTAGAGACAACCCTATTCCTCGTCCTGTTCCTGCTGCGGAGCTGATTTGTGATGAATCCAAACCCTATCACTCCGGAGACTTTTGTTACCCAATTGGGGCATCCCGGTCGCAGACATGGAGCATTGAAGACGTCTTCGGGCGAACGATACCCTCCAGCTGCCCTCTCGGTCGGGATGATGCGCAAACTGTCTGTATCAAGGTCCCCGATAGCATGGAGGTACTGCCGAGCTCCGACGCAGTAGAAACGCGTGCGCCAGACGGCAATTCGCGCTGTTATTCTCTGCATCCCAACCAGCCTTTCAATCTGGTCGTCCCAGCGCAACACTCCAGTAGCAGCTACCTGGAGGCCCAAGTTGTGCACTTGGAAAGGACCATAATCGGCCACGGCCAAGAACGAGGAGGCCTCAGGTCTATATTGACCAACCCTTCGCAAACCGATACAGCTAACTTCGTCTACTTTGAAACCCTTCCCTGGTTCATGCGCCCGTTTTTGCATACAATGAAGACAAAGATCAGTTATGGTTCAGAACCCGCGGTCGAAGTACCGCTCTCTGATATTATCAAGGACATCTTTTACCGGCCTGCTATTGACCGTCATCGTGGCACGCAGTTGGAGCTCGTCTTGTCTGTCCCTCCAGCCTCGACAGTCACCCTGGTATATGAGTTCGAGAAGGCCATCCTTCGGTACACGGAGTACCCACCAGATGCCAACCGAGGCTTCAATGTTGCTCCCGCCATCGTCCGTGTTCTAAACAGAAACGAGTCGATAATGGCGCCTCCCGTCTATCTACGGACCACCAATCTTCTCCTACCGCTTCCGACGCCCGACTTCAGCATGCCATACAATGTCATCATCCTGACAAGTACAGTTATCGCCCTCGCATTTGGGAATATATTCAATGTGATAATCCGTCGGTTTGTTACCCTCGAGGAGGCACCTCGCAGGAATATCAAAGCGCTTCTACTGGGACGAGTGGCAGCTCTTAAAAGCAAGTTGGGAATAAAACCCCCAGAGAAAGTAGCGTAATGCAGTATTTTTCTAGCTTCTACTGGCTGGCCTTGATATCCATGTAAATATCGTCATAGCTAAAGCTATGAATATATATAACTACCTAGTCGGCCATCGTTGGAATATTTTGAATACGTAGAGTATGAAGTAGCTAAGCTGACCCTTGGAAAATATCAACCTCCATCCTTGCAACCAACGCAGACCAGGCTGGTTGGCTGTTCGTACATTTAAATGGTTAGTTACTACTCCGTAAGTCCGTCGCGAGTTGATAGGCTAAGCTAGCTAACTTGTTAGTCAAATAAATATCCGGGGGTCTCGACTTCGAACTCGAACTTAGCTTGGACTTCCCCAGAGCTCGCCAAAGAGTCCAGATATCCCAGAACTCCGCGACACAAGGCTCAAAAACACCCCCATCGCACGCCAGTCTCCTCGATATACTCCCGCCGACTGCCAGAGGCATCATCCTCGCTGTCCACTCACACAGCTACTACTAAATAAGCAGAACGAAGCAAGATGGCTACGCGCCGCGGGGCCGCGAAGGAGACGCAGTCCGAGATATCAACACCAAAGCCGGCATCCTCGCAGCCAGCCGGTACTGAGCTAAGATCTCTCCCCGGGTATGATTGTCCTTCCGGCTCTTTGTGAGGTCCGTTTGTACTCGGAAGGTAGCTAACTGGTTAAATGGTTGCGACGCAGTGGCGTGCTATGGAAGTTCATACTCTACTCGGTGATGATCGTGTGCTGTCCTCTCGGGACATACTACGGGACCGTCGATAGGGTATTCGACGGTACGTCAATTACAATTTGATTTGGCTTACTTGTTCTACTCATGGCATTGCTAACTGATGAGTGTAGGCAACACTACGTATGCGGGCGCAGCGGCGGCGGGAGCAGCAAATGTGGTGTTGATCGTGTACATCATATTTGCCATTCGAGAGGATAACGAGATCGAGAGGAAGGCTGCAGACGAGTTCAAGAAGGATAGATAAGTTAATACTGTGTTTGTTTGGGTATACTCTCTATAAGTCATGATTATATAGCAATGCAATGCAGATGCTTGATGCTTGATAATATAGAACCGGAGACTGCAGGGCTGGTATTCATTCTTGAGGTAAAAATATTTACAGGAGCAGAGCGTACACCAGGCCTGATCAATTAAATTCAAAGGCGTAAAATGAGAAAGGGGGAAAAAGGTCAAGGTATCAATATCAAATCAGCACGAAATCCAGTTGCGTCGCCGTCTTTCCGTTCCACCCCCATTGCATTCCATCCACCCATATCCATATCCATATCGTACCGTACCATAAAAACTACCAACAGAAAAAAAACCGACTGCCGTAGATCACAAGATATAAACAGAGAAATCAAACGAGGGTTCACGTTGAAGTTGAAGCTGAAAGGATTAATAGAGATATATCGTTGCCAGAGCGGTAGAACAAAGGAAACAATCAAACGGTAGAGTTGGGTTCGTGGTATCATCAAACATGGGTCCAGTGAGTAAGTGAATAGACAAACGGGAACAATTCAATGGCACATCCTTGGTAGTAATCCTGGGCCGTCCCATCGACCGAAGAGTAACAGCAAAGTAAATCTTTCTTTTTCTCTAACCTTGATAGTTAAGAGGAAAGGAAAGAAAAAAGTAAATGCGTAGGCTTTTTGGTTTGTTGTGTTTTGTAATCGTACATGGCTGGATCAAGTCCTGCTAATCCGGCGTTTGAACCAGCTTTTGCGTTTACCTTCCTGCAGTGTTGCTCCTGTCACAGCCGGGGGAGGAACGGCAACGGGAACTTCCTTCCGGGGAACGGGAGGAGGAGCCTGGTACTGTTGTCTTATTTGCTGCTGAGGAGGCGCACTGTAGATGTTCTCCTGGCCGGAATTCATGAGCTGCTGGGACTGCTCTAGCTGTGGATCGGTGCCGAAGCCAGCGAACCCATATGACTCGGCAGGCTGGTCATCATACTTCTGGCCTTGGGGATGATTTTGTTGTTGTTGTTGCTGCTGCTGAGCCAACCTATCCATGGAACTATTGACAGAGCTCGGATCCGTTGAGTTTACCCAGTGGTCCACAGATCTACCGCCGGAGCCCGAGGGAGAGTTGGAGTTCGGGTTGTCCTGCTGGCCCTGGTACTGCGGCTGGGGGTAGTAAGAGCTGGCATTGCTGGGGTAGTGTGTTGGGTAAGAGCTGTAGGCGTAGTTAGGGTCTGAGTTAGTGCGAGGTGGAGGAGCCTGGCGGGGAGGTCCGGCTCGAGCAGGACGTTGGTTGCTGTAGTTATACTGGCTCATATCCACGGCCGAGCCGTAGCCGTTGCCGTACGCATCGACGTAGCTTTCTGGTCTTGACTGGTAGCCACGGGAGACCGAGTAGCTGTCGTAGCCACCTCGTTGGTAGTATTGGCCATTCGACCGATCTGAAACATGGTTAGTATGGGTGTTGTAGATCTAGATATTGGCAGCCCAAGCGACAAAGACGGGCAGATGCAGGAACGATGACGTACCACCTCCAAAGAAGCTTGTCGGCCTGCTGTGGCCATTGGTACTCTCATCTGGGGGGCGGTGGATGTTAGCTGGAGCTGTAATAATAACTAGTCCGGGTCGTAGTGGCTGCGGTGGACCAACCTGGCCGGGCGTATGACATGCGCCGACTGCCGTAAGTGCCGTCGATAGCAGCCTCGAACGATCTGATAGTGTCCAGCGGGCGCTCAAAGCGATACCTCGTGGGGTTCGACAGGTCCGGCTCCGCTATGCCTTGTTAGCCAGCAGTTCCAATTGATAATGGTATATAGGGACACTCACTGATGGGGTTGCCGAAGCGGTCCTTGTGCTGGATGCCTCGCAGCTGTCCGAGACTCGACTCCTCTAGCGCAATTGCAGCTGCAACAGTCAGCATTGGCTGCCAGGACACAGATAGAGTAGTATAGAGGGACTAACCAGGCTGTGCTTCGCTCATGGCGAGCGTGGGGTCGGCGTGGGTGCGCATCTTGTTGCTGCCCGGCCGGTCTGCGCTCTTGTCCGACAGATCGGTATTGTTCCTCGCGTGGCCATACTGGCGCTGGCCGGGGCTTCTCGGCTGCTGCTGCGACGAGCTCGAGGTCTTCTGCGGGCTCAGCGGCTGCTGCTGGTTGGAGGCAGACTTCCTCGACTTGCTGCTGGCGAAGCTGAGGACTCGCCCGAGCTTGCCGGCTTTCTGGTCTGGCATGGCGATTAACTGTACAGAGCAGGTCAGGGACAGCACTATCGAGCGAACGACGGATAACGGGGCGAGCACAGTTCTAGACAACGATGAAGCGACAGAGAGAAGATAGCGAGCAGAGGCTGAAGAGGAAGAAGAAGAAGCAGAAGCAGAAGCAGAAGCAGAATCAGCAGCCCGTGAAAAGGTGGCGCGTTGTACCAAGGACGCTGTGTAAGCAGGCAGACTTGACAGCCAGCGAGACGGCCAGACAGCCAGACGGCAGCGGAGAAGAAGCAAAAAAAGGATACGAAGATGTCTCGGAGTGGCTGGGCAGCTTGCTTGCTTGCTTGCTAGTCCGTTCGTTAACTTAAGTGACTTTAGCTATATGCGCTGGCGGGCCAGGATGCGCTGCTTTGGATGTCTCTCTCTCGCTGGCCTGCCCGGGATCGTCGCTGGGGCAAAACTCCACCAGCCACGCAGCGCTGACATCATCGCCGGCGCTGCCTCTACGCTTGACGGTTACAACAGTTGATACAGACAGACAGACAGACAGACAGTTGGTGGACGAAGTGGTATTTATTTATTTATTTTTGATTTATCGTAACGCCGGCAGAGACAGCGAGCTCTTCGGTCTACCGACACAGACAGACAGACAGACGCGGACCAGGAGCACCACCGCAGGCAGCAGCGAGGCCAGACAGACCGTCCTCTCGCCATTATTTGTAGTCGTATACTTAAGAATGAAAGGGGGAAAAAAAGAAGAGAAAGACAGCGTCCGTCAGCAGGCTCTCAATGCACGCGCGCGAGGCTCATCTCTTCAGCTTCGAGTCAGGTCGGGTCGTCCGTCAGCCGGTCGAGTGGCTCATCTCTGCAACTCGTCTCCTCGCACTCCTCTCAGACATCCACCACCACCCAACACCGCGCATCTAGATGGAAGATGGGTAAAGCATGACTCTGACGGATGCACCGAACGACTTGGGGGGTAGGTTGTGTCGGAACTGGGCACGGACAACACCAGAGTTTCCTATCAAACCGTCAGTATCTAAAACACAGCCGTTCTTCTGTTCTCCATGTTGGAAGTCATGTTTGAGCATACCGTGTGGCCGGGTGACTTTGCCCCAGATGACTCTGATCTTTGACCCTCTGACCTCACGCTTGGCTCTGTAGACGAAAGCGACCTTCTTGCCGGAGTAGAAGCTGGTATAATACGTTAGAACGTGTATCCTGTGCATGTATCACACCAGGTTCATAAGACGGTTGACATACGTAGCGGCCTTGGAGTCCTCAACGCCCTCGAGCTTGATGAGACTGTACTCTGTTAGTTTATCTCCATGTCCGGCACCGTCTGCAGCTGGAATTAAGGGCATACCTTGTGTTGGGGTTGGTGACGCGCTTTCCACGCTGGTAGCTCAGGTGTCGACCCCTATACAGCACACACAATCAGCATTTCCATCCATTGCGGAACGGGTATCTTCTGCAGCCCAATTCGTCTCCATTCTCGCACTCCATATTCATGCATTCGTCCACCGCCATCACACATTCAACCGTATATCTCTTGGTCCAACGTCACACCTTCAATCGCATGATATTCCACCTCTTCTATTCCAGCTCTTCCGCTTCTCCTCTCAATTCACATCACCGGGACAAGGTAGGCGCTTACTTGACATATACTACACGAGTCAGTCAGCATCATCTTCATCTTCATCATCTCGATCTCCAGTATCAACAACACCAACAACATCAGTCGCATCGGGAGTACTCACATCTGTGACCGTGATCGGAAGGCATCTTGACGACTGTGTCCGCGACCGAAGAAGGCGTATGAGTTCCAAGTCGAAGTCCAAGTCGTTTCCCCTGGGGTGTTCGTCGTCGCTGTCTTTCTTCGTCTTCGTTCTTCGTCTTCGTCGCTTCGACTTTTTTCCTTTTCTTGAAGTTTTTGTGAAAGTTTGTGTCTTGGGCCGCGCTAAGCCTAAAGCGGATGTTAGCGAGCCCTAGTCATGTGATTTGATCTTTGAGTTTAGAGTCTTGGCTGTTTTTTAGCTAATCGAAGTAGATTTTGATATTTACTTAGACAATGATATATGTAGACGATGATGATATAGACGGTGATAAAGACGATAATATAGACAATGACGAGAGAAGAGAATAGAAGTTCTGATGATTGACCGCCGACCTAGACTACCACTAACCGCGTACCATGCCATGCGCCGGTAGACAGAGATATAGAGAGATAGAGACAGGGAAAGACAGGGAAGAAGGAAATTACTATTGTAAGAGAGATAGGCTGGCAGAAAGAAAGATAGATAAGAGAGACATATATAAATACGAACAAGAATAGAAGACTAGAGATGAAAAGGAATAGAAAGGAAAGGGAAGAAGTGGGAAGTAAAAGAGGCTACTCGACTTTGAGCCTCTTGTCAACGGCCGTCTCGCTGCTAGACTCAGGCTCCTTTCTCTTCCGGTCAGACTCGTCGTCTCGCACGTTACCATGGGCACCAGCGTTACCATGCACATTGGCATTGGAGCCGCCGCTGCTGCTGGCGAACGGCTGAGAAGGGTTCTGCAGGACGGGCGTCGAGAAAGTCAGCGGGCTAGGAAGCATGTTGCTATCGCGGCCGGAGCGGCCAAAGCCCCATTCAGGATAGAAGCTGGACGGAGACGGCAGAAGGGTATCAGACACAAAGCGACTGGGTAAGGCAGAGATGGGGGTATCGATGTTGTTGTTGCTGCTGTTGTTGTTGTTGGTGCTGCCCCCGTTGTTGGATGGTTGGCTGTTTGATGCTGGTGGAGGAGGGCGCGCAAAGGGGTTAGGCGGGCCATGGGCACCGGCACTGAGTAAGGCAGATGCCGAAGGGGACGGCGGCGGTAGGACGACGGCTGAGTGGCTTGCTTCTGCGGGCTTGCTTGTTGTAGGCGGTCCGCCAGGTCCTGTGGAGGTTGATGCGGCGCCGGCAGCACCACCACCACCAACTGTGGGAGCAGGGTTAGTTCCCGTCGCAGGCGAGGATCCGGCGGTGATGCTGCCCGCGTCCGACGTCTCGCTGGGGATCTGGACCTTGAGAATGGGTCGTTTGATATTTGACTGGATGCTGTTTGTCCTCGAGGGCGGCGGGATGGAAGAGACTGATGTTCTATGGGGTATCTGCTGGGGTGGTTGTGCTTGGACTTGAGGTGGTGGCTGTTGTTGCTGTTGCTGCTTGGGAGGCTGTCTGGGTTCCTTCTTGGGCGACTCTGCTGACGGGCCGAAGCCAAAGTGTTGTGCCAGGACCGAACCACGATCGTCTATGGGGGTGAAGATGGATCGTGACTTGGTGGGCATGGGCTTTGGCTGCGGCGGCGGGCTCCGGTCCACTTTGATCTGCTGCTGAGGTGGTTGTTGCGGGTGTTGTGGCGGGTGATGCTGTTCCTGGAAAGCCGGGGCCGGGGGCATAGATTGCCGCCTGTTATCCGGGATGTACTGCTGGGCCATTGCCGGATGTTGGTGGTGCGGCTGCTGGTGGTGGTGCTGAGGCGGCGGCAGTGGCTGGTGCGAATAGTACTGCGGGTGCTGCTGCTGTTGCTGTTGCGGCGGCGCCTGTGGGTAGTTCTGCATGTAGAACCCATTTTGCGCACCGGCTGTCGGCGCTGGAGGGGGAGTGCCGTGTTGATGTTGCTGCTGAGGGTGGTGTTGCGGGTGCATGGCCATCCGCTGGACATGGTTGCGTGACGAGGGCCGCGAGGGCGCCTGTCCGGGGGGCGCATGAGGCCCGTCTATTGGAGGGGAGACGGACGGAGGCTGCTTGATATGCTGCGGATGCGGGTGCGGTTGTTGATGCTGGTGTTGCTGCTGCTGCGGTGGCGGCGGCGGGTGGTAGACGGGGCCCATCTGCTGCTGGTCGTCTGGCGCGGGCGACTCCTCGTCTTCATCGTCGTCGAGCGCGCCCTTACCGAGAAAGTCGGCCGGCCCCTTGTGCTCGTGCGGTTGTCCATACTAGACGTTCGTTAGCACACATACAACAAAAATAAAAATTAAAAATAATAATAATAAATAAATAAAAAAATAAAAATAAAAAACGAAAAAAGGAGGGACGCACGTATTGGTATCTGCCGAGGGTTTCCTGGATATCGGCGGAGGAGAACTCGTACAGCTTCTTGTTGTGGCCGAAGATGATCACAGTGACGTCGACCGAGCAGAGGACGGAGAGCTCATGGGCCTTCTTGAAGAGGCCGCCCTTGCGCTTGAGAAAGGTGACGGAGCGGTTGCGATCGTCCTTGATGGCCTTGATCTCGATCTTGCGGCGGCCCATGGCCAACAGTTCATGCCCTCCCGTCCGCGTCTGCCTGCTGTCGCCGTCGTCTCTGTCGCTTCAGTCGCGGTGCCTGGCCGGTCCCCGCGCCCGCGTGCGTGTCTCGGCTGTCGAGCCCGCCCGTTCGCCGTCGAAGGAGCCGTCGCCTGCTGCGAGCGTTCGCTGGCTATAGATCGAGGGTTCGAGATGTTGGCGTCGCCTTTGCTTGGTTGTTTGTGTTATTCTAAACATAGAAAAGTGAGAAATTTCTATAAAAAGACGAAGAAAAGAAAAAAGTTGCTAAAGATAGAAAAAGGCCGTGGCAGCAAGGCGCTGACTCAGCAGGACGTCGACTTAAGGCTGCTGACTCAGCGACGGGCCGCGCGCGCCGTGGCAGTAAGAATTAAGGTCAGGGGTGCGGCTCGTACTTCCACGCCGTCTCCCCTTAATTCGACGTCGACGCTCGAAAAGGCGTGCAAAAGCGAGCATAAACAGAGTAAACAGAGTAAACAGAGCGACGATTCCATCATCGGGGAGTATATTATCAAGTCAAAGACGCAGGAAAAGGTGGTGAGGCGGCTGGCGTGGGCGAGCAGCCAGCGAAACGGCCTGGATGTGACTGGTCCCGCTCCTTGCTTTTTCCTCGACGGGTTCCTCCTAAGTAGTTACTGTCTTTTTTTCTCCTTCGTTACCCCTGAGTCCTGCAGCACGTCCGTCCAGTGGGCCATCACCACCAGCGGATTTTCTTCCTCTTCCTGTCCGTCTCTTCTCTCTTCTCTTCTCTCTCTCTCCCTCCCCTTCTCTCTCTCTCTTCCTCCCTCACCTCTTCTGCCCGTATTTTCTCCGAGTGGTCACTCGCTTCCCTTTCTTACGCTCGTTTGTTTCGCCGTCGTGCTTTTTGTTTACCCGCCAATTTCTCTCGTTACGAACAGGGTTCCCCCCCTCCTCCCCCCTAGGAGTTTTTACTACCGCTACGGCATGCAGGATGCCTTTCTTTTCGCGCGTCTTCCGCTCCAAGGACCCTTCGAAGAAGTCTGGCAGGCTCAACGGGCTCCCGCTTGAGCCAGAGAAGCCAACATGGACCGATGCATGGCTCAGGACAGAGGTCGAGCCGGAGGAGGTCGTCGACCTGCTGCTCGGATGCACCTCTGAGCTCAAAGATAGGGGTATCTCCCCCCGTTCTCTTTATCTAGATAATGCGTCTGCATGAAGCAGCTTGTACTGACCACACAATGTCCGTTCCATTGGCAGCCCTCGATATCCCCTTTCTACTGCTCCCGTTCAGACCGACGTCCGACCCGTCAGCTGCAAAGTCGTTCATCCGCAATTTCTTTAGCCCCCCGCCAGAGCGGACGGACAGGCCAGGACCGCTGCAGGGGAGCCAGCTCGCCCAGGAACTGCGTCTCTCGGAGCCAATGGTACGTGTTTTTTTTTTACCTTTCGTTTTATTCAAAGTGATGGTAGACGATCTTATAATAAGACAATTGGGAACGATTCGCTGATAGGATGACGCGCGTTAGGTGCTCTGTAGTGTGATGAAGTGGTGCTGGGCCAGATTGCCCGGCGGAGTAGTTACTTGGGAGGCCTACGAGCTCTTCAAAGTCGGCGAGAATGGTGTGCTGCTCTTAATATTCATGACATAACATGCTTGTGAACGGAAAGGAAATGCTAATGGTGGATTATCTGAAGATGCCCAATTTGCCAGAGACGCTTTCTCGACCTTCATCCCGCTCAGTGTTGACTCGGATGCCCGCACAAAGATCATCTTTGCCTTCTTCGATCTCATGGCCGCCATCGCAGCCCATGGAAAATCCAACGGCCTCGGAGGCAGAAAGCTGTCCAGATACGCTGGATGGTGGGCCTTTGAACATGCAGACACCGGCAAGGGCTTCGAGGCCAGCTACAAGACATGGAATAGGTAGATACCCCCCTTTTTCGATACTATATCTATATGTATCCTGCTCAAAGGGCACAATGACTGACTTTGTAGTGCCGCCGATGCTACGAGTCATCTATTCTTTGCATACCTGAGATCCCAGTCGCCGGATTCCCTACGAGGTACCAACGGAATCTCGACCCTCCCCCTATCGCTGCAAAACCTGGTCCGCGCCACAGAGTACCCTCCAGAGACGCCCTCTTTGCTCCAGACTTCCACTACAAAGGTCGTCATGCTGGTCGATGTCGTCTCTCCCACTCCGTTTGCCCTCCTGCGCCGCGCAAAGAACTTTGAGTACCGTGCCAGTGACCATGCTCTGCAGCAGTTTGCCAGCTACGAGGATCCCCAGGACGCGCTGACAGAGGAGTGCAAGCGTGTCCTCTGCTGCATTGCCACTACAAATCAGTCGGAAGTATCCACCGTCAAGGCATCGACCAGCCTACAGGACGCCTCATGGTCTCGCTTTGAGGATATCGGTTTCGGTGGTGCCATCGAAGACGATCTAGATGACAGCTCCAAGAAAGCTAGCAGTACGCCAATGGGACTCAGATCCGCCCCTGAGTCTCGCACCGCTGACTTTGGTCGACCTACCACCCCGTCTTGGGCAGACTTCCTCTCCTCGGGCTTCTCAGAGGAGAACGGAGTCAAGTCACCGACTACGCTCCTGCTGCCTCCAGACAAGATCCTCCCTCCCCTCCAAGCTGTGCGTGGGCAATCATCCCAATCACACAAACGCGGATTTGATGATGGCTCCATGCTCGACCCCGGTGAGCTCGCCAGCATCTCCACCCTCGACCTCGACGACTCCTTCTGGTGGGTTTGGGTGAGCAGCTTGTCAGGCGAAGAATCAGCCGTCCGAAAGGCCGTCTTCGGCCGATGCGCCTTGCTCGAAACCGTCATCCCAGGCGGGAAATGGCTTATTCTTGAAGAACAGATCAAGGGAGCTGCCCCCGAACCAGAAGCCGGTGCCTACATCGCCGAGAAGAAGACCTTCTTTGGCTTCAAGACTCGAAAGGGCCGACTCGGCAGAAGCAAGACTAGCATAAAGAAGGGTGGCCTTATCGGAGAACAGTACAACAACAACAGCGGCACCGGTCCATCAAGCAAAGCTAGTATAGGACCAGATCAGCATGCGCGCATCCAGGCTGCTGCCGCCGCCCTCCAGCGAAAGCGAAGAGAACAAGAACTCGAAGAGGCAAACAAGGAGCGCGCAAAGACAGAATTGAACCAGACTTCCAAGACTAACTCGGTCCACACACTTCAGCCAGCAATGATATCAGAAATGTCCCAGGCAATGCGATGGGCAAGCAACTATGACAAGAACAACATTCGCAACGCATATTTGGAAAACTCCCTTGCCGGAACTGGAAAGCCTGCCTCAAGTCTTGATATGGGATCCAGATCGAGGTCGTCTACGGATCAGAACAAGCCAGAGGTACCACCAAAGCATGAAAGCACTACTTCCAGCCGTGATATACCCTCTATCCGCGAACGTCTGCCTAGGTCTACCACTACTTCTCCCACCCCAGACACTCCGCCAAAGACCGAGTCTCCTATCCCTGGTCCGGCAAGCAATATCAACTTTGACAAGCCTACACCTCCAACACCCCCTGCTGCTGCCGCTGCCGCCGCCGCCGCCGCTGCTGCTACTGCTCCAGCAGCTTCTTCTACTCCAGCAACAGCCTCGCCCGCCCCAACCCCAGCCCGCGTTGAATCCCCGGCGCCAACGAAAGAGGAGCCCACGGCAGATGACAAGAAAGTGAAGAAGAAAGCAGGCAATACCGGCCTGAAGGGCATGTTTGGCGGTTCCAAGGCCGACCACACCGAAAAGGAGTCCGCTGTAGCTGCTGCCCGTGCCGCTCTCGAGAGCCGAACCGCTCAGTCCCAGTCCCAACAGCGTTCAGCTAACTCCTCGCCTGCATCTTCTTCAAGAATCCCACATACCCGCCGTCTATCCGGCTTCGGCATGAAGAAACACCAAGAAGATGGCCAAAAGTCCAAACCAGTCACTGTTATTGAGCGCAAGCCAGTCAAGGCTGCTCCTGCTCCGGCTCCTGCTCCGGCTCCTGCCGCACAAGCTCCCGCACCAGTCAAGGAACCTCGCGTCTCGCCTCCTCCGCCAGAGGCCGAGCGTCCAATCGCAGGAGAAGAGTCCGCTCCCGTCTCACCCATTTCTCCCGATGACAAGAAATCAGATGCAGTCGCTTTCTCCTCGTTCTCCCACCAGAGCCCCATAGTCGACCAACCCGCTTGTGTCCCCGTCGAGACTCCTTCTCCAGTTGAATCAGAGCCAAAGGCCGCTCCAGTTCCTGCTCCAGCCCCCGTCCAGACAGAGTCGAAGACATTCAATGTCCAGCCCGAAAAGGAGGTCCCTGCCCCTGCTACCCCTGAGCCGCAGCCACAAAAGCAGCCACAGACCGAGCCAGAGCCAGAGCCCGAAGTTCCTGCTCTAGACCGCTGGGCTCAGATCCGCAAGAACGCCGCCCAGCGCGCCGCTGTCCCTGATGCTGCCGTATCCGCTTCCCCGGCCGCTGTTCCTGCCCCTGCTGCCGCTCCCGCATCTCCTGCCTCTGCACCAAAGCAAGCTAGCCAGCAAGAGAGTAAGTCACTTTTCCTTGACACCCCTGTTTACATGTATTATGCTCCTACTAACAAATATTAGCAATTGAAATGCGCGCTGCACGCATCAAGGCCCGCGTCGCTGAGTTGACCAAGAACATGGAATCTTCCCGCGCCAACTGATCCATGAAGCCAACAATCTTACGCCATCAAATGTGATGATTGACTACCCAAAAAGAACACAAAAGAGCTTGCTCACGCCTGTCTATCTGTCTGCCTGATTTCTTGTCTCTCTTTCTTTTCCTACATCTGTTTTAATATTTTATTTATTTTATTAATCTCCTTTGTTCTCATACCCCAATTTTCTCCCTCTTCTTTCCTCAAACCAGTTTCGTCCTCTCTCTTGCCTTGCTCGGCTGCAGTTTGATATATCCACAGCGTTCTCCAGTTTTTTGACATTTCTCCCTTTTACCCTACTCTACTCTACCTACTTACCTATCTATATTCCGTATTCCATATATACCCATCCACCTACTTCTCCTCGCCTCCTTAACTCTTTGATATCCATCATTGAGTACTATCCAGACCAGAATTTGTTTACCTACTTATTTTATACCCGGGCAAATCTCATATGTTATCTCCACCTTCTATATTCTCACAACTTCTTTCCACCTGTTCGATAGATAACCTATTCGCCTACGTTCGGATACTCGAATATCTCTTTATCTCTCTATATATCCTACCTTTTACCTTTAGTTACCCTTACCTTTACTCTATCCTACCTCTCCACCTTACTATCTATGTTGCCTTGTGTTGCGTTGCGTATTTGTTGCACTTTACTATAAAGTCTCATTTACCATTTCATTCTTAATATCCTAGCCTAGTCTCTAATTACCTACTATCAATATACAAAACTAGGGCTTGAAATATCAGTGAGTAAAGAGTTTCATTGACCAATATATACCAAGGAAATCAACATGATACAGTAGCTATTACCTAACTATTCCTTCCGACCGAAAACCATCTGCTTCACTTTATCAACAAACCCCTCATTAGATTTCTTATCACCCGATTGCTCCTCTGTTGCCCTTGGCTTCTCCGCTTCCTTGGACATTTCACTGTGTACGTTCCCTTGTCCCCCCCTCTGCATATCTGTTAGTCCCCAAAACCACACAAATCAGAGTAATGCGCACAACATACCCCAACATGATATTCAGTAGCAGAAGACTGCCTCATTGCAGTGGGGGGAATAACGTCTGCATCATGTGGTTGGCCGCGAGATGGAGGTATATTGGGTGACCCTATATTCCCTACTCCTCCACGCTAAAAGAACCCAGAAATCAGTAACGTTCCCACAGCATAATACTCGAATGATCCATATCATACCCCCGCAGAATAAGCGCCATCTCCTTGGTCCCCTTCAACGCCCTCCCGGACAATTTCTGCATCAACATATCTATATCCCGCATTAGAAAGGTTTGATTGACTGAAACAGGTCGCATTCGCGTAGGTATAAACCAACTTTGTAGAATCAGCAGCGATGTTTCCCTGGCCTATATGAATCGCAAGTAGGAATCTCTAGTTAGCTGGTTTCAAGATATGAAAGGTGGGTATACAGGAGCAAACCCCTACCTCCGCGCCCATGCGAAACGATCTGGGCACCTTGCTGTTCAGACATGTTGTAACTTGCTCTCTAGCTACGCGCAGTGTATATA